GTCCCCTCGAGTCCTTCCCCGTCCCGTCCCAGCGGTCCCGGTCCCGGTTCCGGAGGGGTCCCGGTTCCAATCCCGGTCCCGGTCCCGGTTCCGCTCCCGGTTCTCCCCGGCTGCAGCCGCTGGTACCGGACGGGTTCTGATCCCTGTCCCGGTTCTAGCCCGGGACAGTTCGGTTCTGGTCCCGGTTCGGTTCAGTTCTGGCCCGGTCCCGGTTCGGTTCTAGTCCAGTTCGGTTCATGGTCCCGGCCCAGTTCAGTTCGGTTCTAGCCCGGTCCTGGTCCGGTTCTGTTCCGGTTCTATCCGAGGTGCAGCCGCTGGTGCCGGACGAGCGCGGCGCTGCCACTGTCCCGGTTCGTTCCTGGCCCGGTTCTGTCCCGGTTCGGTTCGTTCCTGGCCCGGTTCGGTTCTATCCCGGTCCTGGTCCTGTTCTATCCCGGTCCCGGTTCGGTTCTGTTCTATCCCGGTTCGGTTCTATCCCGGTTGGGTTCGGTCCTGGCCCGGTCCTGTCCCGATTCTATCCCGGTCCCGGTTCTGTCCCGATCCCGGTTCGGTCCTGGCCCGGTTGGGTTCGTTCCTGGCCCGGTCCCGGTTCGGTTCTGTTCGTTCCTGTCCCGGTTGGGTTCGGTCCTGGCCCGGTTCGGTTCAATCCCGGTCCCGGTTCGGTTCTGTTCGTTCCTGGCCCGGTTCTGTCCCGGTTCGGTTCTGTCCCGGTTCGGTTCTGTCCCGGTTCTAGCCCAGGTGCAGCCGCTGGTGCCGGACGAGCGCGGCGCTGCCGCCGAATCCCTTCCCGCACTCGGCGCAGGTGAAGGGGCGGGGCGTGGCCGGGGCGTGGCCGCGCAGGTGAGCCAAGAGCGGCGCCACCTGCGCGAACCCCGCCCCGCAGCGCGGGCAACTGTGGCGAGCGGGCTGCTCGCCCAAACCCCCGCCCCCCCCCCGCGGCCTCCTCCTCCTCCTCGTCCTCCTGGGCCTCTGCTCGCCCTCGGCCTCGCCGCGCTCGCCCAGGTGAGCCCGGCGGTGCTTGAGGAAGGCGGAGCTGTAGCTGAAGCCGCGGCCGCACTCGCCACACGTGTAGGGCCGCTCGCCCAGGTGAGCCCGCAGGTGAGCGCTCAGGTTGGAGCTGCGGCTGAAGCGGCGCCCGCACTCGCCACAGCCGTAGGGACGCTCGCCCACAGGCGTGGCCACCTCGGAACCCCAATTCAATGCCCGGCCGCACTCGCCACAACCCAAGGAATGGTCGCCCACAGGCGTGGCCACCTCTGACCCCCAATTCAAGCCCCTCCCGCACTCGCCACACCCCAAGGAATGGTCGCCCACAGCCGTGGCCACCTCAGAGCCCCAATTCAAGCCCCTTCCGCACTCGCCACACCCCAAGGAACGCTCGCCCACAGCCGTGGCCACCTCAGACCCCCAGCCCAGGCCCCTCCCGCAGTGGCCACAGCGCACGGATCGCTGGCCCGGCCGCCGGCGCTGCCGCGGGGCGCGCAGGGAACCGCGGCCGCAGTGGCCACAGAGCGGCGAGCGCTCGCCCAGCGCGTGCAGCCGCTGGTGCGCGTTGCGGTTGGAGCTGCGGGTGAAGCTCTTGCCGCAGTCCAGGCACCGGAAGCGCTTCTCGGTAGCCACGGGCCAGCTCTCGGTAGCCACGGAACAGTTCTCGGTAGCCACGGGCCAGGTCTCGGTAGCCACGGGCCGGCTCTCGGTAGCCACGGAGCAGTTCTCGGTAGCCACGGGCCAGGTCTCGGTAGCCACGGGCCAGCTCTCGGTAGCCACGGGCCAGGTCTCGGTAGCCACGGGCCAGGTCTCGGTAGCCACGGGCCGGCCCGTGCGGGTTCCTCGCCCTCGGCGAGCGCCGCGAGCCCCGCGGCGAGA